TGGTGGTGGGGGTGGTGGGAGGGATAATAGTGAGACTGTGAGAGTGTTGAGTAATCTTGTGCTAGCAATTGGGCTTACTTATCTTACTATGACTGGTCAGCTGGGTTGGATCTTGGATGCTATTGTTTCTGTTTGGGTACTTCTCTCTCAAGCATCACTTAGCTTGGCATATTAGCATTTAGATTCTATTTGTGCACCATTTGGTTATTAGAGATGATATATTTATGTAGTATGATGATTAGGGTAGAGGGTTAGTTACGTAGTTGAGAGTTGTCTCGCTTTTTCTTTCATACTAATAGTCGTAGCATTACTCAATGTGTTCTTGTTATTTCATTTCTGTACCATTTTATGTTTCTTGCACTTGGATTATTGTATTATTTTGTTGTATTGATTGTTCCCTTTTAGTATGCTTTGTCATGCGTTGTTTAGTATTTTGTCTTGGTTTTTTCACTTCCGTTGTTTTTGTTCTTCGAACTGCTTTATAATGCTTTTACTTGAGTTGAGGGTACAATCTCTCTAACTCCCAAGGTAGGGGTAAGGTCTACATACACACTACCCTCCCCAAACCCCACTTGTGGACTGGGTGTGTTGGTGTTGTTGTTGATGATGATGATATGAAATGAGCTAATGAAGAAGTGAGATTCATATAGCCGTTCCCAACTTGTTTGGGACTGAAGCATAGTAGTTGTTGTTGTTTGGTTATTAGAGATATACGTCTATATTTAATTTTACATGGAATTGTTAGAGTTTTTTTGTGAGGATAGTATGCCATAGCTTGGGTACACCTTTTTTTCTTTTCCAGAATGATTTTCATCTCAGGTATCACCTTTAAAGTAAATTGTGTGATGCTAGTTCAGAAACTTCTTTAATTCACATTTGCTGTTTCTGATACTTAACATGTACTGTATAAGCTAACACAGTGTATGGAACATGTTTATACTATGATGATGCTTATCCTTTCATATTTTAGGGTGTTTGTGTTCACTGCATTTTAGAATTTATTTAAGTTATCGCTGTTCGCATAGTGCTTAAATCTGAAGGACTAATGAGTAATATATGTACAATTTTTCATTATGCAGTCAATCTCTGTATTGCTGCTTTGCATGTATTAGCTATGGTTATCTTGCCATGCCATACCTTAGATATTAACAGTTGTCTTTCATTTTCTGTTTTTCAGATCCTTGCAGTTCTACTTCCAATTTTAGGTTTGGGAGCTTTTATTTGGTGGGCTGGACGAGATATTGTTCAAAGCGCTGTAAGGGAACTAAACTTGCATGTCTTCACTTTTCCACATTTATCCTATTATTTCAACTGCCTGCATTGAGAATTGCATATGTGCCTACTTCTGCCTGTGAAATATCAAATTTAAGTAGTTTGACTGATAATAAATTTATGTGGATAATATATCTCATCCATTATTTTGAAGTATTTTTGAATATTACATTACATTAAAGGGATCCGGTATTCAAACTCCTCTAGTGTACGGATCTCAATGAGATCACTTTCTCCCCTATTAACTTGACGTGCACTTCTTTTTGACTTTATAGATTTCATCCAAAAATGCAATTTGTGTATAGCTCTATCACCTCAAACCGATTTAGCACTTCTCAGTATCTCAAAATGTGTCAAGTTCTGCAGCATCCAACCTGCTCTATTGTATCCTTCCGTGAAATGCTTAAATTTCAACTGACAGACAGAATTTCTAGAATAACTACTATTTGTGACAAACAACGGGTTATCTTGTGCTCGTATATTTTTACAATGTGTGTATGATGCTTTTACCAAGCAGTTAGGATTATTCTGTTGTAGGTGCACTCCTTAGGGTAATACAGTGATGAGAAATATATATATTGTTTTAAAATTAAAGCAGATCAAATGGAAGTTCTCTGGGTCCATCTAAACAACTATCAGACTTCTTACGGCACATGCTTCCTTTCTGTGTTTGCTAATGGATTTCTTCTACTGTGCAGTGCCCAAACTGCGGGAATGAATTTCAAATTTTCAGGTAAGATCAAATGGAACCTTGTTTAAGAGAAATATTGAAGCCAGGGGGCTGGTTGTTTTTGTTAGTTACTCATAGCATTGATTTTCACCCAGTGCAGGTCTACTTTAAATGATGAGGTTCAGCTTTGCCCTTTCTGTACTCAGCCATTCTCAGGTTAAAATTGATTCTCTAAGTTGGCTTGTCTCCCTTGTTTTGACAACTTCCTCATAGCTGAGCAATTGCCAATTGGTGGCATTCTTGTTTCATTTAGTTACATTATTGCTCTCATATTGGGTTTTAAGAGAGCTGATGGGAATTTGCACACCGAACAGATTTATCAAGAAATTCAAATATCAAATAGCTCGTATCATATATGGCCCTAAATAAAATTTATGTACCCTGTTTACCTCGCGTTTCTCCGCCTCATAATCTTATTCCTTTGTCCCAATGCATATATGCAAAGTAAACCATCAGAAGTTCACAGCTCTTCATGTGGGTTGTTTGCATTGCACTTAGGCTTACTGTATCGATCTCCCAGTCCTAGATATAAGTAGAGCTTCGTCTATTTCTCTTCTTTTCCTTAAAATTATTTTCTCTCTGTCGTGGTCTTTTGAATCCTTGGAGTATATACATGTTTGATGTTTTTTAATGGTTGTTAAGCACTTGAATACAACAATCAGATGTTGCTAGTGATAATTAATATCTTGAGAGTGTTGCATGTGTTTTGACTTTTCTTTCTGTTATCTTGGACTTCCTTGATGTAAATTGATTTTTTTAATCATTTCAAATCTTTGTTCAAACATTGATGTGGGCTATATCATGAGTAACTGATGCAAGCTAAGCGTGTTATTTGAGATGTTCCATGCTATCTGCAGTTGTTGGTAATAAGTTCGTGAGAGACCCAGTAACGTTCTCCAACCAGTCAACTACATTTGGTCAAGCATTCGGTGATTTCAGTACTCGTTCAAAGAAAGGTTCATCTTTCTTACTCTTCTTTAAACATTTACTGGTTATGGTGTTCAGTTGCATAGTCCATTTACCTAAACTTGGTGCATAATAAGGGCACTAACAGTCTAATCATTCATGAAGTTCTTTTTTTATTCTTTGGAATATCGTTCATCTGATGAAGTTAATGCTGCCTCTCCTGTAAATAAGCTCGACTTTTGCAGTTCTCCTTCTGGAAAGTTAGCCAGCATAAACAAATATGAGAATGGATTCCTTCAAGAAAGAAAACTTTCTTTTCTAACTTCTTTGGGATCCTTATGTGCTCTATTAGTGTTGGTATTCAAATATTTCCTTAAGATTAAAGCCTTAAAATTCCAAGCAAACTTGGCTTATGTTTCTTCTCATCATGCGTTTCTGTCTGAGAATTTTCTTAAGATTAAGAGATGAATCTTTAAAACATGTTTTCCAGATAAACTTCAAATAATCCTCATAAGAATTGATTGTACTGCTAGACTGCGGAATACTGCCAAAATTTGTGCAACTTTAGACCATTAGGGCTTTAAATCATGATCCTAGGACTGTCCCTTGATATATCTGGATTAGAGCTTACTTCACCTCATGCATTTACTTTACAGGTAAGGATTCTTCTATCGGAATTGTTGATATAGAAGCAGAAGTTAAGGACGCGGACTAGGCAGTGGTCTCCAGTCATACAGTAGCATATGGTAAAGCACTCAGATTATTTTTGTATCTTTGCCTATGCATGTGATGGACAACACACTTCAAACGAAACTGTAGCTATTTATAAACATTATATATGATGTGTCGTCCACCTTTGTCTCCCTTCAAATTTGTCTTTTTTAATTGAAAAGAAAATCCCATGCACATTCGTTTTGTTGTTACTCCATGATGACTATATGCTGCCAGTGTAGAAATAATGTCCAGAATAGAACTGTTTGGACAGAGTGTACAATCCGTGTCTCTAAAAAGAAGTCATTTCGAAATTGTCATATTCTGTCTATCTCTGACATTCCTCACTTGGGAGGGGGTGTGTTTTGGAATTGATCCTTCTATCGTTGTTATCGTTGGGTGCTGGTACAACGTAATTTGCTATTGATATGAACATATGCACCCTCCAAACATAGATGGTGATTTACATTTTAGCAGTCTTTTGCTGGTCTTGTCCTATTATGTATGAGGCTGCTTCTTTTTCTTCTTTCATAGAAATCATCGATAGGGATTATGGGGAAGCAGCAGCAGCTGAACGGGAAGAAGACAAGAACATCCCACATCAGTATGAAGAGAAGCTTCTCGTAAGCACTATGCTGTCTTGAAATACGAAGAACACTACGTTTAGCATAGCTTGTCATGCATGGTCGTACATGGCTGTACAGTCGCGAACACATGATCAACATATTATAGAATATTGCTGATTATGTTAGAAAAAAGTGTGTGATACCATTATACTTGATTGCAGTTGCACCATAGTATACCACAGCACTGGATAGCTTATCATGTTTGTAAAAATACTTTCTAGCTTCTCATCAGTTGAGGTGTTGATTGTATTATGATGTGATAAGCAATAACATACCCCGTGTAATTCTACACGCGGGGTTCAGGAGGTTAAGATGTATGCACACCTTATCCTCGCTTTCCAACTTTTTAGTTAAGCCAGATGATGCCGTTTTCTCTATGACAGTAGGAGCAATAAACTGAATCTAGTATATTTTTGTGGTCAAATGAAAGAGCTTTGGTATTACCAGTTCATTTTCTAAACAAATTTAGAGCTTAATGATGTGTAAAAACCATTAAGTGTTCCATGTTTCTACGAACTTATTACATTGCGTCTCCTGTTATTGGTTTCCACCTTCAATAGCTAGAATTGTATGAAAAGGTAATTTTTTACCATCTCCCATAGTCTTAACATAAATGGAAATAGGCACCAAATGACCAAAAGCACAACGGATGGGCAGTATGACGAAGCTAATGAGCTTGCTGCATCTGACTCATTAAGCTCCATTAAACCAGGCATAGACATTCAAATGGGTTAGAATGACGCGTAAATGGAATGAGAAGAAAACTGTGGTCTCTTCAACATACTCATGATAATTATGCAAATGGGTAACTAAAGTAGTTTCAAAAAAGAAGAAACATCATATACTTAGCAGGCAAAATGTTCCTAAATGAACCAACATTCTACAGAAAAAAGCAAAAGAAGAAAATACATAGTTGATTGTCCAATATTTCATGTGCAATTCAGTCCCAATAAGAAAAGTGGAGGAAATGGGGAAAAACCCATTTAACATTCTTCATGGCAAAAATTGAGGACCACATAGCCCTCCTAACTTCTTTATTCAAGGCAATTCAGCACGTCAAATATTAGTGGGATCCGTCACCAACTTTCTGCCATAAGATGAAGCAAATCAGATAAGATATTAGATAGAGAAAACATCATATTTCAAGAACAGTTTGAGAATAGCAGTCTGTACAAGGTGAAATGTCTATATACACTGTATACATGACAAACTTGCTACGTTCAGTTAACTCACATATACCTTTTTTCTTCATAAGGTAAGGTAAGATTTACCTAGCATATGTAGTAAAACCATATGGGTGATCATTTGGTCTTCTATTATTATGTCATTCTTATTCAAATCTCAATCAGCTAATAGCTGGCAAAAATAGATATAATATTTCATAGGCATTTATAATATGGACATATAGGAGATAATGACATCGAAATATATGCTTTAACATTACCAGCAACAGCAAAAAATTTGAATGAAGTTGCTAAACGTGAAAGGAATGTACCTCTTCCTTCTTCTCTTTCTTTTCCTTTGTGAAGAGCTTATAAGCTCCATAGAAGGCCAGCCCCCAACCAGTAAGAGAGACGATCACAAACTACAAGGACCAGAGATGTGGTTAACTGGAGACTAGAAATTCTAATTCCAAGTTACAACCAAAACAATAGAATCAAATTACACTAACAACAGTATACAGCGTGAATTTTTATAGCAATTTAACAAATTCACTCATGTTATATCCACAGATAACATTGCACCCAATTGAAAAGACTTCAAGTCATCGAACTATTGAAGATCCGACTCCAAACCTTGGTGATTCACAATCAAAACTAGAAGCTGAACTCACTGAAGTTTCCCAAAGTATATATTTTGTCAATCTAATCTGTACTAATACGTACTTTGATGAGCCTATCCAAAACAGGCCCGACCTTGGTATAGATTTAGGAACCTACCAAAATGAGTAAAACTTTCTAGATATTGAACAGACACATACAGGGGCGCATAACTACATATGATATGGAGTAAATTTTGCAGTGGTCTAACAGATAACTATAGCACAGGCAACTATAGCAGAGGCAAACTTCATTGTGAAATAAGTAGTAGAGAGAAAATCATTTCCCACAATCACAGGTGAACTGTGAATACTCTATGTGCTCTTCTGGATCCCCAATTCAAAAGTGGCACTCCAATGCCCACTTAAACTTGTTGTCAACCATGTATAGGTGAAAATTAGAAGTACTGGTAATAGTTCTCTATCTGACATCTAGCATTCAAAGTTTCATAGCAAACTGCAGAAATTTCATAAGCCAAGCCAAGCAAGCTGATAATGTCAAAGCCAACGACCAAAAAAAGTCATAATAATTTAAACATGTAGAAAAGACATCACAAAGGTCTGAAAGACTCACATGCTCTTCTTTCCATTTTGATGGACTCATCGGATCCTGCCAAAAGTTCACCTTTGGAGGTCCATGATGGTCTGCATTGAAAAGAACGAATATTAGTTATCGTCTCACTTCATGGTACAACTTCATCTGAAATCCAATTGTAAGTGGCATTCATATGCTTGCACTGTTGTTGTTTTTTCCTGAAGCTGAATGCTTGCACTGTTTTTCTTACTTCTTTAGTGGTAGAACACACAAAAAAAGCCAGGATTTTGATTACCCCTTCTACACAACCTTTTCCCCCACTTTCCAAGTCAATCTTGGAAGCAATATATAGAAAAATGGAGGTGGTCATAAGCCAGTTAGGACGAAGAAAACAATATAAAATGTCTAATTTGCATATTGAACTAAGTAGAAACGGTAAACTATATATTTTATAGGAAGTGCACAATTTTCTATCTTGCTAGATTTGCCAGAAAGGTTTTTTGAGGTGTGTAACAAATGCAATGGAACCTTGGAAACTCCGGTTACCAGAGAACATGCATTCTCCTTTACCAATTTAACAAGCTCAGCCCAGTAGTATAAGAAACTTCAGCTTGCTCAGTTAGTTTGAAATCCAGAGCAGTAAATAGAAAAAAGACAACGGTACTATAGCAGAAATAAATGAAAAAACACAGCAAATAGAGCAAAACATTTGTAACTGTTGATCATGTACAACAGTACAAGTAACTATTATTAGGCTCAATGAGATTTAACAGAAGAGCACATGACTTTTGCAGGCGAGCTTACATACGTCATAACTTAGCGCAAACAAAGAATATGCATAAAAAGTTTTCACTTTCCAAAACAAACTAAAAAAGAAAAAAAGGAAAGACAAATGCCTATATGAACTTCCAATGTCCGTGAATCACGACATTACAAGCAAATGCCATGGCTTTCTACTATTTCTTTTACAATCAGATAATACAATTAGCGAACATATTAAAGTTTCACAAATTTCAGGAGAATTAGTTTAATTTACCACCACCACCGGCAAGACCGCGCCGCTGGATAAGTAAAGCGCCTTGCTTCGTTGAGCTAACTGATTTAGAAGCCGAAAATCGAGATAGGTTCGCTGCTTGCCTCGCCGCCGCCGTCCACGCCGCCATCGTATCCTTCTGCCGTGAGAGCCTGCCGGACTGAGTGAGCGAGCTCCTAGAAATGAGTAGATGCAAGAAGAAGACAATGACCAAAAGACCCAAATGTCCTTTTCCGGTAGCTATTGAGTGTACTGGGCCTGGGTTGACGGCCCAAATCCTAATTGTGAAGTTAGCATCGTTAAATATTTGACGGAGATTAATTAAAAATGGACACGTTAGTAAATTTTAAAAACAAATTTTGAATAAATATTATTTTCGAAAAGAGATTTTGTTAACGTAGCTCTTAGACAGCTAACAGTAAACCACTAATCATAACACTATTTATACAACTCATATAATTAAATGATTATGTTAGACCTAACCTATGTTTTGGGTACATTTTTATATCATTTTCTCAACTAATTTGTATGCAAACCTAAACTTAAACACCTCAATTTAAATTAGTTTGCACTCCACTGTCATAAGTTAGCTTCTAAACCATCAAAACCAGTAAAGTTATTTAACTAAACCAATAAAGTTTGTCAAAGGATGACAATTGAGATGAATAATAATTTGTTTATATTGAGTGTGACTATTTTAACTTACAAAATTATGACATTGTTCAATCCGTTTAAATTTGAATAGATTAATACTTCATTTATTTCTTTTTAAAAAAAATTAATTTTACATAAAATCAAGTGATATCACATGAATTATCATCGTATTTATGGTGGACCTACTCGGAAAAAAATTTACTCATGTTGGACCTACTTCCACTAATTCACACGGGAAACACAAAGGGAAATTCGCAAACAAATAAATAAGTCAAAATCAACTAGGCACTGCTGCGATTCCTCCTCCTTTCTCATCCAGTTGCATTTTTCTTTTGATAGATATTTACGCGTCGGAGAGGGGAGGAATCAGATCGGCGATTTTCATTTTCCGATATCTTCTCTCTCCGTCGGTCAATTCGCTTAAACCCTTGCTATCGTCACCATGAATGAGAAGGCTAATGTTACTAAAGAGCTTAATGCGAAGCATAGAAAGGTATTTTTTGTTCCGATTCATGATTTCTCCTTTTGAATTTCAGTTTATTGTGGTTGATCTAGTTAGATTTGATGATGTTTGACTATTGGTTGATACATCTTATATGGTTTTATCAGTTAATATTTGAGATTTGGGGCTTATTGGATCCTTTTTCCACTTGTGTTCTTATTGAACTCCTATTGCTAGTTTTATTCTGATAATTCGAGCAGTGAAATGATGATCTAGTTCAAGCAGGTGCTTTGAATTATGATTTTGGATGCTCATTTTTTCCTAATAGAAGAAGAATAATAGACACTTACACACAATTGGATAAAAAAAGAAGATTTTTTTAACTCATATGCTTACTGAGTGAGAGTTTTCAAAAAAACCGTGATAGGTCCTGAGACAGACACAGATAGATTAGTTATTGCAATTTCATATATAGTCAGTTGTTAGATTACTTAAAGCAAGCATCTTACTGTGTACCTTAACTTTTTTTTTTATCTTGATAATTTAGATCACTTCATTGCATATGACACTGAGACAGTGTCAACACTACATAAGGTTTGTACTGACTGTCCAAATCTATCTGTACAAAGAGGAATCTTTTCTTTGTAATGGATACAAATTGAAAAAGAGATCTCCTTTGGCTTTCCATTTCTGTCTTTCACTCCTTCAAAAGTTCTACTGTGCCTTCCTCTCCGGATAGTCAGGGAGTGTATGTAGGTTCTGTCTTCCAAATCTCCTTCTTATTAGTCTCAAACATCCCTTAGTAGTATATGATACATCCAAGAGACGGGTTTTCATGATATACATCATTTTTTATTTGTTACTAATTATTTAAGGACATAAGGTGAAATTTGT